TAGTGGTTGTTGCTAGTTTGACAAGGCCATCTACTTCGATATTCTGCGCTCGAGGGATTTGGTCGAGCTAGCATTCGTCGAACTCGAGTAACAGCTTGCAGATCTCGGCCTAGTATTTTTGTAGTCTTTGTTCCTTGATTTAGAAAGTCCTTGTGACTTGATTGACGACGAGCTGAGAGTCGCAATGTAGGATGACTCACTTCGCTCCATACTTGAGTGCTAACTTTAGTCCTACAATCACGGCCTCATACTCGCACTCATTGTTAGTCATATCTGGGCATCTTATGGACTGGCGAATTACTTCGCCTGTTGGGACCTCGAGCAGGGATCTTTGTCCAGATCCCGATGCATTAGAGTTGCCATCGGTATACAAAATCCATAGGTCGCGTATTTTAGGGGAAGTACGTGCGGCTTTCTTTTCAACTTCAGGCATTACTTTTGTGCTGAAGTCAGCGACGAAGTCGGCGAGCACTTGCGACTTTATCGCCGTTCCCGGCTATAGGTTATATCATGCTCGCTCAATTCTATGGCCCATTTGGCCAATCTACCCAACTACTCGGGTTTATGCAGAATACTCTTCAGGGGAAAGGTCGTGACCACCGAGATGGGGTGGCACTGAAAAGAGGGTCTCAGCTTTCGTGAAGCTACGACCAAAGCCAGGGCCAGCTTCTCGAGGTGTGGATACCTTGTCTTGGCGTCAACCAAGGTTTTGCTAATATAAAAGATAGGGGATTACGTACCTTTGTTTTCTCAGACCAAGACCGAACTCACTGCCACATCGGACACGGCTAGGTAAATGAAGAGACATTCTCCAGGTTCCGCTTTAGCGAGCAGTGGGGGTGAAGATAGGTACGCCTTTAACTCTTTCAAGGCGTCAATTCACTCGGAGTTCCATTGGAGTCCATTGTCCTTCTTGAGTACGCCAAAAAATTTTATGGCACCTGTTGGAGGATCGTGAGATGAATCTCGACAGGGGGCTATACGGCCGATCACCTTCTGTACCTGTTTCTTACTGTTTAAGTTCTCGGGTATTCCTTCTATAGCTTTGATTTGGTCGGGGTTGGCCTTGATGCCTCGTTGTGATACTAAGAAGGTGAGGAACTTTCCCGAGGTTATGCCGAAGGCGCACTTTTCGGGGTTCAACTTCATACCATATCGTCTGAGTATGTCGAAGGCCTCTTTCAAGTGGTCGATATGATCCTCTTTCCTTTTTGACTTGACCAACATGTCGTCGATGTAGGCCTTCATGGTTTTGCCGAGTTGGTCTTTGCATATTTTTGTCACCAACCTTTGATACGTCGCCCCTGCGTTTTTCAGTCCGAAAGGCATCACCCTGTAGCAATACGTCCCCTGGTGGGTGATGAAGGTGGTCTTTTCCTGGTCTTCCTCCTCCACGAGGATCTGGTTGTAGCCCGGGTAGGCGTCTAAGAAGCTTAATAGCTCGTGCCCGGCTGTTGCGTCAATGAGCTGGTCGATATGGGGTAGTGGGAATGAATCTTTTGGGCATGCTTTGTTCAATCCGTGAAGTCCACGCACATCCGCCATTTTCCGTTCTTCTTTTTCACCATGACCACGTTGGCGACCTATTGGGGGGTACTTTGATTCTCTAATAGAGCCGTTATCCAGCAGTTTTTCAACCTCCTCGCGGACCGCATCATTTATTGCGGAAATGAATAACTTAGCGTGTTCGTCAACCACGCTTCGAGCAGCTTTTTCACCGCTGGTGGTGCCTCTTCCGTTGTGGACGTAGAGGCCCCTTTTCCGTGTGCGGTTGTGATGTTGCCGTGTGGAAGGGATGAACCACTCCGCCCAGGGAGGCGTTTGGCATCACTTCCTCAGCATCTATTTCAGTGACCTCGTTGATGGTGTTTAGGGGGGTGGTGGTAAGACTGGCTATTTCCTTCATCCTTTCTTCTCCATTACCTACCATGTTAAACTATGCATGCAAGAAAAGACAAAGTTTTGCGTTGTTTTCTTTTAGATTTGAAAGGAACTAAGACTTTGACTAGGAAATCCCCATAGACGGCGCCAAATTGTTTGACCAAAAAATGATAATCCTTGGTTAAACTAATTAATCAGTTTTTAAAGGGGGACAATCTTAGTTGAAGCTAATAACACTACATATCTTAGGTTAACGGTGTAGATGAAGTGGGCAGTGGCGAGACAAATTTAATGTGCCAATATTAAATGCGCCGAATATAATATTGTGTTAGAGATATCGGATATTAAATGGCAATAAATGGCACTAAATGTAAATAAGGAGGAAGATCGCCCAATATTGAATGAGATGAATGATTCCTTCCTCTGATAGTGACGAATGACGAGAATATAAGAGAATATTGTATACTTTTTCGGATCTGGTGGAAATGACAAGAGATAATCCAAAAAGGTTGAATCTATTCAGAAAGTTGTTCTTTGTATTTATCTAGAGAGCTTGCTTTTCAAAAGAGTTCTTATCATATGGAATATCACATGCCTTTTGTCTTATTTCTCATACTATTTATATGGGATATTCCCAAAGAACCCTAAAAGTACAAACAGAGAGAATATTCAATAGAATATTCCCTCTGAAGATCCCAATACAAAACTAGCCGTCACTTCTATCTATGCTGCTCGACTTCGACCCTGATGGACCGCTCAGCGGCTCGTTCTATTGATCACTGATTGATCTCGACCAAATTACCCGTGTTGATTTGCGAATCACTCATGATAATCATCTCCGCGTGCTGAATTTCTTCGATCTGATTTGAACCCATACACGGATGTCAAAGTATAGTGTTGGATTTAGACTTGTGAAATTTGGTGAGTGGTTAGTGAAACGAGATTGAGATTGGGGAGTTAGATATAAAACATCATTAAACGTGAATAGAAATGAATGAAATTAATTGGCTCTGAAAGTTTGTAGTTTGTATATAATTGAAAAGCAAATTTTGTTGGTAAGGAAATCTAATGTGAGGCGTCCATATATGTTGATATTAGACAAGTCCGCAGGTTTTAGGTTTATCTTGTTAGGTCATAGTCGAAGTACTAAAAGTATCATTCTAATTTCATCAAGTTGGAAGCTTTTGGATTAAGAAGCGGAAAAAAAGATCGTAGAATGATGATATACCTGTCTGTAATTACTATTTTTTAGGGTACGCGCGTTGCGCGTGTACTCCCGCTTAATGAGTATGAATTTTTAAAAGAATTATGTAAATTTTATATTAAAAATTATGTTCGAGTTATTATAAAGAAAAATAAAAAATATCTAAGTTTTTGAATATAATTATTACTAATCTTAATAATTTAATTACTCAATAAAGACACTTTGCCCTACAGAAGTTTGATATTTTCCTATACATATGTGATACTTCCCTCATTTCAATTTGTACATGAGTGTATTTTTATTTTAGCACTCCTATATGACATATATAGCTCGAATATTTATATATATTTCCTTATTTAATTATATAAGTAGGCCTACATAAGTATTCATTATCTTTTAATAATGATTATTCCATCGTCAATTGGTTTATACGTGCAAGATAATTTGCATAAAAGTTGAGATATTTAGGTTAGTGATCAGTTTTATGTGTTTATTCGACATTTGTGTTTAATTAAAATGATGAAATATGAATAGATTTTAAAGTTTTAAATATTAGGATTTTGTACATATTGCAAATAAGGAAAGATTTGGTAAATAAAATTTAGTAGATTTTAAATACCTAAAAATTAGAAAAATAATTAAATGACTATTATCTAGTATGAACTTTATTTTTAAAAGGTAAAAAAGACAAACAACATTTCACTAAGGGCATTCGTGCTTTTAATATGTTATATATATATATATATATATATATATATATATATATATATATATATATATATATATATATATATATATATAT